GTATCACTATCTGAGAAATTATTTCTGATTTCATTTTTTCCAGATCCTCTTTTGTTGCCAGTTCAGGGAGTCTAGGTGGTTGAATATCAGAGTGCTCCTGTTCCTTTCCCTTTGGGGTTGCTGTAGGTGATCTGGAAGTCTCATTTTGAGACTTGTTTATGTGTCTTCTCATTTCAGTGCGGGGGTGGGGGTGCTGTTGGTGCCTGCACAGCTCACCTCCTCTGCACTGGAATCAGTGTAATGGCAGCCTGGAAGCCCCTTGCTCTGGGCTGGGAGTGGTGGAATGGTGGCCCAGAAGCCCCTTCCTCTAGGCTGGGAGTGGTGGAAAGGCAGCCCAGAAGCCCCTACCTCTGAGCTGGGATCAGTGGAATGGTGGCCCAGAAGCCTCTACTTCTGTGCTGGGAGTGGTGGAAAAGTGACCCAGAAGCCCCTTCCTCTGGGCTGGGAGCGGTGGAACGTTGGCCTGGAAGCCTGTCCTCAATGTTATTACCCCCCAGTGGCTCTGTCTTCACACAACATTTGTAAGGATCAGCACTTTAAACTGGAAATCTGCCAAGAGGAACATATCAAAATAAGAGCAGTAGTCAGAGTGCACCAGCTCCTTCTCCAATGTGTTCTCCATGCTTCCATTTACATTTAACTCCCTATCCATGGTAATGTTACAAGAGGACAAAGGTGACAAACAGAAAGTCCTCCTTACATCAGATGTGATTTTCTTTCCCCTTCCTTCAGAGACCTCAGTCCTGGCCATTAGTTTTGTGGAGTTGATGGAAAGGATATTGCAGAGAGGTGCAGGAGCTCTGGCTCTTTGTGTGACAGCTCTCCACATCTGGAAAGGGTTCATCCCTGTAGAGGATTAAAGGAGCCTCTTCCAACTCCACCATCCCCAAAGAGAGGACCTCACTGGGGGACTCTGGGCCAATCATCTTAATAAAATTAAAAATAAATATTCCCTTTGAGTTTCAATTGGTTTGTGCTGCTTCTTGTATTTGGCTCGCTCCACAACTCGATGTGCTCATTGTTCTTTGTGTATCACACTGATTTTGCATCCATAGAGAGAAGACCTGGATCAAAGCCATGAGATTTTCCTAAACTTGAGGCTATGGTCTGCTTCATTCATGTGGAAAAACCTGAAAACCTTCTCTGAAAAGTTGTCACGGTCATGGACAATCACCAACTTGTGGATCCAGATTCAAGATTATGCCTTTTCCTGAATGACCCTGGTTGACAGGAGTTAGTTGAGGAGGTGTGAGGATTATATATACACAGTGCTATTGGGTTCCAGCAAATAGATGAAATGGATTTTCAGTTGTTTGGACCTGCAATTAACATAGACATATCTCAGTTTTTTTGGAGACAGGTGTCCTTTCATATGGATCCCATTCAGCAATAACAGACTGCAACCATTCATCCCAGTGTTGCAGAAAGAGATGTGGGTCTAACTGGCCCAGGTCCAGCCACTGTTGATTATCAGGTGGAGGTTGAGTAGAGTCTTTGGAAGCCAGTATCTCTGGGCCAGTGTGCTCACTGGGGTCCTGGCATTGTCCTTGATTTGGGGAACACAAAGGAATCTTCCCTCCCAGAGTCATTCCAGTTGACAACTGAGTAGTACATATTGAAACAATATGACAATTTCCTCTTTCCTCCACAGCCTGGGAGGGCTGGACTATCTTGGCCCTTGGTAACTGGCTCACACTGCTCCTAGAAGAATCCTGAGGTCCAAAGGGTATGAGGGGTGGAAAAAGAGCTGCTGCAAGTGACTCTGTGCTGATAACAGCATTGGACGGAGAAAGGTGTCTGGAGCTGTTTGGGTTAATGCCATGGTTGTTTGGTGGCAGCTGATCACTGGCATGAGGTGTCTGATGTGGGCCTTCTGCCATGGCTCCCAAAGGTCCTCCTATTCTCTGGTGTTGGTTCCAAGCTCTTTGGTTAAGAAACCATGTCTAAGACAAAATAGAGCCAGATATTAGAGGACATAGGGATTCTGCCTCTGTTTCTCATAGTTTATAAGCAAGGGAACTATATATGTGGTCTATGATCTCATATATATATATATATATTATATATTATATATATATATCATTTGGTCTTTAAAATAGGCCCAAATTAAAAGGAATTGTTTATTCTTTCTTTGAGAAGTATCATACATTGGTTTTCTGGGACCCCAAACTTTTAGAACTCTATCCAGTACTCCTTTTCCTTTTATTAATTTTTAAACGGTATATTTTTATATTATTTTCATTTAGTACTGAAGAATATATAGTTTAAATTTTTCCATCATCACGGCAAAAAATGCATGAAACTAATACAAGTATTTAGTCCTTAAAGTTAATTTTTGCCTCATGCCAATATCTGAGCTACCAAGTCCATGTCTTCTGGATAAAATGCTCTTTCCCAATTTTGAAGTTGAAATAATAACTCCAGGCCACAGGTGCCTTGGTACATATACAAGCACATCCGTTGAGGATTCAGGTCTTGACAAGTGACTATAGAGCAATGGTAGCAAATCTATGGCATTCATACTTAAGTGGGCATCCAGATCCTTCTCTGTTGGCATTCCTGCCAAGTCACCCCACCATTGCCCCAGTAGCTATGCCTTGGATAACCGTGCACGTAGGGGCCATCCATGTGCTCCGAAAGGAGTAGTGGCACTAGGTGATGATGTCAAGAGCCACAATTCATAAGCCATGACTCATGTCAGTGCTCTGCCAAGGAGAATATATATATA